CATGTCCCACTGAGCCCAGCTCCTGCCGTTGGGCTCTGGGTTGCCCCCACCTCGAGTCCTCGAATCCACTCCTACACCCACCACCTTTCTCTCCTGCGCTGTCCACTTCTCCCTCTCTCCCGGATCATCGCCATCAGTGTATAAACATGCTCTACGCCCTTCCATGTAGAACCAACAAGAAAACCCCCCCTTAGCCTACATCCCCTCCAGCTGCCACCTCGCCTCTATTTTTCCTTCACAGCCAAATTTCTCAGTTGCCACTCCTCACTTCTCATTATCTCCTCAAACCACTCCAATTAGCTTCTGTCTTCATCCCTTGCTTCGTGGAAACTGCCTAATCAGCGTCACGAGTCATGTCCCTGTTGCTAGACCCAGCAGTTAGTCCCCTTGCTCAGCCTCTCCCATCATTCAGCACAGTGGCCACCTCTCTTCCACACTGGGCTCCCGGGACGTAGCCAAATCCACTTTTCTTTCCACCTCAGGGGCTGCTTCTCAGTTTCCCTGGCCAGCTCCACTTTCTCTGCTCAGCCTCTAAATCGTGGGTCCCTCTGGGCTCTGTTCTTAGCTACATTCTTGGCCATGGTTTTAGATCATCTCTATACCACTGACTTCAAAATCCACTTCTCCATCCCTGATCTCACCTCTGAGCTCTGGACTCATTTCCAATTGATGACTTTATGTCTCCACATGGATGTCTAATGGCCAATGAAATGCAGGGAGGAGTGACATCACCATCCTCTCTTTGGCCTTTTCCATGGTGACCGGCAATATTCCAAATAGAGGCTGCTCTATCAGTGTGGGTCCCAGAGAGAAAATGGCATGACGCTGAGCCACAGCTGACCCACAATCGACATGCAGAGGGGCACGAAATAAATGTTTGCTGTATTAAGGAACTGAGATGTGGGGGAGTTGTTACCACAGCATAATCTAGCCTAGCCTGACTACTACATGTACCTCGAAAGGCTGTGAGATCCTGTGAGGTAACAGGGGAAGCTGCTCTTTAAATTGTATGCATGACTATGGGCCCAGCATTGACTGTATGGTGGGGGAGACCAGATATACCTCAGCAAAAGGAAAACAGGCCTTGCTGGAAAAACAGTGGTGTTCCAGCTCACACTGGGGCCAGATTCTAAGACAGTCCCTAAGTACCAAATTTACCCTTGAAGTTCCCTTAAATCGCCCATAAAATACAGAACAGTGTGATCTCTGATGAAGTTCAACACAGTCTGTTTTTCTCCAGCACTGGAGCAAATGGCTTTTCTTTGGTTGAATACCAAATATAGTAATTGATTTAAGGACCCCTTGTATAAGAAAAGTCTGTCTTTAAATGGCAAATCACACTCAGCATGGTGAGACACTGTTTACCAAATCCCTTCCTCCTAGGCCCACAACAAATCTCTATTTCCCAACCTGCTTTGCACATAGATGTGGCCATGTAACTGTGTTGTGGCTAACGGAATGTGAGCAGAAGTAGTGTGTACCAATTCCCCACCTTTCCGTTAAAACCAGCCTTGTGCAACCTCCACGCCCACCTCTTCTGCCCGCACGATGCAAGCAAGCAGGGCGCTCTTGGAAGCCGTGTGTTGAAAATGGTGAAACTGTTAAGACAGGAGGAGGCTGAGTCCCTGAATCCCTGCTTCAGGCGATCTACCTCCCAGTCAGGAGCACCTGATTAGGACTTGACATGAGTTGGAAATAAACTTCTACCATGTTGGAGCCACTATACATCTTGAGGTTTGTGACAGCAGTTAGGGTTACTTTAAGCACAGGGCGAAAGCCAGGAGATTCAAGACCACCAGAGGGAACAGCAGATTCATGCTGCCTGTCCCGTGCCCTCTCTGAGGCAGAGCCCACCAGGTGGAACGAGCAAATGGAATGTCTTGCATGGTAGTTATTCATTCAGTCTGAAAGCACATAGGTGAATTCCAGAAAGTTATCACTGCACATATGTCTTGGTCCATTCGGGCTGCTATAACAAAATACCACAGACTGGGTAGCTTATAAACAACAGAAATTTATTCCTCACAGTTCTGGAGGCTGGAAGCCCAAGATGAAGGCACCAGCACGGTCGAGTTCGGGTGAGGGCCCTCTTCCTGGTTCACAGCTGGCACCTTATCACCGTGTCCACACACAGTGGAAGGGGCCAGAGCTCTGTCAGGCCTCCTTTAGAAGGGCACCGATCCCTTTCATGAGGGCTCATGACCTAATCATGTCCTCAAGGCCCCACCTCCAAATACTGTCACATTGGGCATTAGGTTTCAACATAGGAATTTTGAGGGCACACAAACGATCAGACCACAGCAACATATAATGTGACTCCACTATGTCTCCTAGACGGATTATAGTGACTCCAGGACCCAATTCAGCCTAGTCTTTCCCCACCCCCTCCTCCAGGAGGTCACAGGGCCACTCTGCAGGTTCCTCCTGGGCTCAGTTCAGCAACCGGACCAAAGGCACCAGGCTAACCTCCAGGCCTCAGCAGGGGAGGGGCCCAGAGTCTCTAGAGCTAGTCGCTCAGCCCTCAGACACATATTCCACTTGAGTGGAAGATGCTCACCTCTCCTCTCCATCTCTCGCTCTCCTCTTTCAGACCACAGAGAGCTGGGTTTACATAAGTCAGAGACTCCTGATGTCACTGTAAATGGTTAGGGCCAAAGAGCCGACGAGCCAGTCAGGGCTGTGGGGCTCGAGCAAGTGCTCAGAGGACTCGTCGGCTGGAGAGGGGAGCTGATTCATGAAGGACACAGGACAGGTGACAAGAAGGAAAAAGAGCTCCGGGGCAGCAGCTGGGAGGGCACCTCTCTGGTCTCCCACCCAGACTGGGGGCTGGCCAGGCAGTGGATGCCTGCAGAGAGGGGCAGCTCAGCTTGTGAATCACTATCTTCCTCAAGTTCAAATCCGTCCCTGTGCTGCCCTTCAACATTCATCCTCCAAGTGGCCCCCAAAAGAGGGCCCATGTGATCTACCACAGGATCATTCAAGTGGCAGGACCCGGTTAAACAAATAAATATTGGAATTAAGAAAACTGCTGACACGGACCGCTGTGTATGGTAAATGTTAATGGTGAAGGCTCTGGAGCCAAGCCAGCCAGGTTGGCCTCCTCTCAGGGCCTCGATTTCCTCTCTGGAAAATGGGCACAATAAGAGGATTGTTCTATTGGATAGTACACGGTATAGAGTAATTGTGAGGTGAAATGGGTAATGGACGCAAAAAGTACTTGGAACGGCGGTAGCTTGTGTTAGCAGAATAGCACACATAGAAAATGAAATTTAAAATTTGGCAATATATACATGTAGGCATGAAGAATTTATTTAGACAGACACATAAGCAGTGAGCAGCACTGGTCGCCCCCGGGGAGAACTGAGCTTAAGGTGGCGGACAACTTTGTCACCCTTTTGTAGTGCGTGCAATTTAATTTTTTTACTATGTGAATATTTTAGCTATTATTTTGAAAGATTCCTTCAGTAGCTTTGTGTGGCCCTCAGGATAAAGTCCAAATGCCCTACTGGGCTCCTCAGCCCCAGCTGGCTTCTGCCCCATCTCTCACCAGCTCTCCAGCCCCCAACCCCCAGCACTCGGTGTTCCAGCCACATCGACCTGTTTCCGACCTGTTTCCATTTCCGAGGCTGCCCAGGGTGCTCTCTGGCCTCCCTGACCCCTCAGCCGAGAATCAATCCTCTCCTCTGCATTAACCCTTCCCACCCCAATCCCTACCAGCTTTCTACTTCAGATACCCACCCCCTTCACCAGCACCTCCCTAACTACAGGATCGGCTCCCCCTCACTGGTCTATGACCTCCAGGAGGGTTAGGAAGCTCGTTGCCCAGTTCCCACCCAATCCCCTGGGCCTAGCAAAGGAGTTGAGGCTCAATACACATCCGATAAATTTCAGCTCTCGGGGACACAAGGGTCTCTTGACTAAGCTATTATGAGAATAAAATGAGTAACATCTGCAAAGAACCCCCAGCACAGGATCTGGCATATGGTAGGCTGAATAGTTTTAAAAAGAAAGCTGGTGCCAGACAGCAGAGAAAGCTCAGACGGTAAGGGCAGCTGTTAGGAACAGATGCCCAGAACAACGTCTACTACATGAGAGTGCCCAAAACGTGTTTAAGGAGCAGTGATTCTCAACATCATTGGGAAGAAGAATCAATCACCCAGGGTTTATTATAATTGCACACTTCTGGGCCCATCCCTAGAGATTCCGACTCTGAAGGTCTGACACTGGGTCCAATAAGCTGAATTTTTTTTTTTGTGAGGAGGACTAGCCCTGAGCTAACATCTGATGCCAATCCTCCCCTTTTTTTCTTGAGGAAGACTGGCCCTGAGCTAACATCCGTGCCCATCTTCCTCTACTTTATATGGGACGCCGCCACAGCATGGCTTACCAAGTGGTGCGCTGGTGTGCGCCCGGGATCCGAACCCGTGAACCCCAGGCCGCCGAAGCGGAGCACGCGCACTTAACTGCTTGTGCCACCGGGCCCGCCCAGAAGCTGAATTTTTAACAACTATCCCACTGGTGATCTAAGGACCTCACTCTGAGAGACCAACTGATCTACTTGTGAATATTTATTAAGCAGCTATGATATGCCAGGATAAAGTTAACCTTCACTGTAGGGATAGAGAAGAAACAAGAAAAGTCTGTACCTGTGGAGTTTACATTCTAGTGGGGGTAAAAAAATATGAGGTACACAAATAAATGTAGACGGCCAGCGAGTGTCATAAAGAAAATAAAGCAGGTGTGCAAAGAAGACATGGCATGAGCGTGGGTGGCAGGGAGGGCCTCTCTCCGAGGTCACTGTAGAACGACAGGAAGGAGCCAGCCAGTAAACTGGGGGAAAAGCATCCAGATGCATCTTCCTTTTTCCCCAAGCTCCCCTCAACCCAGGCTCTGGTCCAAGAGTATGTCAAAGGAAACCAAGTCCAGGATAGTGAAGCCCCGCCTTTATTATTGAGGCTTTCAGAGCCATGACAGACTGGGCTATGCAGTCTGGGCTCTGCAGAGGAGACTGCAACGGGGAAGGATCTAGACGGTCCCTTCTCTTCAGGCCATGGTACCCACAGACTTCCTCTGGCCAGGGGCAGAAGTCTGACTCCCTGCCTTTTGGGAAACCTGGCCCCTACTCCATCTCTTGCACTCAAGTGTCCCTAAGGTCTCAGGCCAAGCCAGACCCCAGGGTTGAGCCAGTGGGTGTGACAATGCCCAGTACTCAGACAGGCCTCTTGGTGCCACAGGAGCACGGCCCATATGGGTGGGGCCTTCTAAGCACCCTTCCTGATCTGAAGTCCAGGTCCTTGGGGATCACAGGGGTAGGGATTGGTCCTCAGGATTACGGAGAACATGACATTGCCAAAGAGGCTGACCCCCTTCTCAGCAGGCTGGACAACACATTAGGAAGACGTGAGCCTGGGACCTCCTAGGAGAGAGGCGAGGCGTGTGGCACAGCGAGACACCCAGGGCAGGTGGGCAGCCAGGGGCCAGAGGTTCCAGGGTCACTTCTTCTTGGCACGGTCTGCCGCATCCAAGGCAGCCATGTTGCGGGCAGCTGTGATCAGGTGGATGACACTGATGAGGGACTTGAGCAAGGCGATCGGGGCAGTGATCCAGAGGCCCATTCGGAAAAGACCCACAGAGCCAACTGTGGGAAGGGAGTAAAAGCGACACAGAGAAAATGGGATGCAGGCGAGGGAGGGACCCAGGAGGGTGTGGCCTTCCTCTCCCTGTGCAGGCCAGAACCCCCTCCCATCCTCCCACCCAGCCCCTCATCTCCTACCTAAAGGTCCCTCGGAGAAATTGAACAGGTAGAGGAGGCAGTAGAAGAGCTCATTTCCAGCACACAGGGTAAACAGAGCAGGCTGCAGGAACAGCAAAAAGGCTGCTTCGGCAAGAGGGCGGGGCAGGGGCCTCGCCCCCCTACTAAAGGACAGGGGGCTGGAACCCTCTGAGGATGGGTAGCAGGGAGGAACTGTACTGGGAAAACAGGGGCACAGCGGGGGGGGGGG